ATGAGTGTTTCCCTGCGTTAGGATCAAAAGTAATAATATTACAATCCAAAATTTGTCTTGAGAAAACATTTCCTGCGATGTCTGCCTAAAAAGCATGATTAGCAAACACCGAATGAACTGTTGTTAAATAAAGTCTATCAAAAAATTCCTTCTTAGCACCCTTCTTTGCTAACAGGTCAGCTGCTTTATTCGTCTCCCTGTAACTGTACTTCACCACTACGTCTTCTAGCCTTAGGATAATTGACTTGCATTCAAAATTAACTGAGTCAAATACATGATTTTCATTGTTAAGCATTTTTATTACCTCAGTAAAATCTGTGTTGATTTCCAGTAGTGTTAGCCCTATTTCTTCAGCAATCTGCAATCCTCTCAACACAACAAGAAGTTCTGCTTGTGTGTTAGTAGTGTGTTGCATGCTACCCATGAAGCCCAGTACCCAGTTACCGCTTGCGTTTTTGAAAACTCCTCACACGCATCCCTTGCCCGGATTCCCAATAGCAATCATATCAGTGTTAAGCTTATAGTGGTCTCTTGGTGGGGGAATCCATTTGACCCAGATAGGTTTCTCTTTTGTGGGTAATTTGTCGACTGAGATAGTGATATAGTTAGTCGCCTTTGCCAAAACAACATTAGCAGGGACCATGTCTTTCTTTTTGTTGAAGAATTTATTATTCCTAGTGATCCAGATCTGTCAAAAGCTAAAGGGGAATAGTTCTTCCCATGTAAGGATGCTATTGAAAGGCTTTCATTTGAGAGTAGCTCATGTGGCAGGCCAGTACCTGCTACTGAAGGAGGTGTTCTGTGTTTGTGCTTCAATGGTACTCTTTGAGGACAATTTCCCAGAAGGATTTTGCATTTGGACACTCAAAGAATATGTGGGCAGAGGTCTCAATGGTCTGATTACAGAAACAACACATTGGGTTCATATGTACACCAATATGGTGAAGGAAGGCCCCAGTGGGAAGCCTTTCATAATAAAGGAGCCATATGAAGGATTTGATCTTATTGGGGGCCTTCAGTTTCCAGATTCACAAGTAGTTGTTGCATGTATTTGTTCCCTTCGAGGAGGCAGTGTTGGCAAGAAGAGAGTAGGTTGATTTGGTACTGAAGAGGCCATTGACAGTGTTTTCCCAAATCATCTTATCCTCCTTTATAGAATTGGGTAGGATGAATGTGTTTAGGAGTATGTTTCTGATGTTTGTAGGGATGTTTGGGGAGATGGAGGAGGTATCCTAGATCCCCTTGTTGTAGATTGTAGCAAAATAAAAACACTACGGTTTCATAACTTTATGAAAACTAAATTAGGTGGTCATCCCCACCTAATAAAAGATGAATAAAAATAAAAATAAAAACACTACGAGTTCTACTATCGATCTCCAAATAAAAATACTTCGAGGCATACCCTAAAATAAAATATAGACAAATCCTTCGGGGCATTCCCCGGACAAATTTAACTAAGAGAACGACCTCTCGCCTCAAAAACTAATAAAACATCCTAATATTGCCTACCCAAGTGTGGTCGCCCTAAAACATCCTCCTAGCGTTTATGAAAACTAATGAAAGCAAAACAATTAAACATTCACTGTCTGATTTTTCATATTTAACATCACCCCACGGCCAATTCAAGCAATTTTCACTCTTTGTTCATAACTTTCTCCTGTTTGCAATTTCTCAAAAACCATCAAGCACATAGACTCATTCCCTCATATAAGTGAACTACCTAACAAGTAGCAACATAAATGACTAAAGCAAGATAAAGGCCCATATGTCACTATTAATTGTATTGCTCTAATACTTAAATTAACTTACTATAGAGAAAACTAATTGAATACAATGATGATCGAAAACGTAACACCTAAAGAAGAACATTGACTTTTAAATACGCCAAAATCAGGAAAAAGAGAAAGAAAGAACAAAAAATAATAAATAAAAAAATGAAAAAAAAACTAAATAGTAAGAATGTAAAGACTAAAAGAGTTTTTCAAATCATCTCAATAACTAACTAAAAATCCAAAAATCTAAAGGAAATACTACTGTCAATATCAACCAAAATACATTTACAAAATTAAATCCTCTTTCCAAAAAGTGATGAACGAAGAAAACCTCAAACCATGCTGAAAACAACCTATTGATATACTATTAAAAGGGAAGAATGCCAACAAAATAAATTAAATTTTTAAAATATACCACTACAAATTAGCAGAAGAACTGTAATATATATATATATATCTCTCTCTCTCTATATATATATATATATATGTATATATATATATGTAGAGAGAGAAATTCTAATATATGTTGCTTTAAGAGCTTTCAAGACTACCTTAATTTTACAACTAATCACATACGGGCATTCATCTTGCTCCTAGATCATTCAACATATAAGCAAGCACATGAGTAAGAACAGAGAAGAGAATAACCTTTAAGTAGCTTTCTTCAAATATATTTTTCTATTCGGAAGCAGCAATTACAGGAAAATCCAACGCCGAAACTAGAACATCAACCAGAATAATCAGCAGGAATCCATGGATCAAAGCTCGAATACGGGACTGTAAACCTCGACTCCTCAAACAGAATCCAGATCTCATGTGAAACCCATTTTGGTTCGCTCGCTTTTTCTTGAAATCCAACTTAAGATAAAAAGAAGCTAAAATACTGTATGTGATTTTCCAAATCTGGATAGCTAAAGATGAAACTAAAAGTGAAAATATTTTTATCGGGTCCCTAGAAAGTAGAACTAAGATGAAAATAAATAGCAAAATCTTTTTTGGAACATTTTCTTCGATCGAACTAAAAAGAAATTGAAAAGATGTAAAGAAAATCCTTCGAACTTCTGCTTCAGGTCCCCTTTTATGAATAGAACCCATGAGTTTTTATGTGTCCCCCCAGAAATTGTGCTTGGGGAGGAAGCAAAATGTTAAAACCGTGTGGTCCCCACTGTGCAATCAAAATAGTACCGTGTCCATAAATAGAGTTGTAGTGTCTGTGATAAGTTTATTGGAGGAATTATCTAGAAGGGTGACATGGGAAAAGGTGAATGGAAGTTGAGAAAAAAATTAAATATAAAAAATGAAAATAAAGAAAGAAATATAAAAAATAAAACAAGACCACTTCCGTTCTTTCGTTTCTTGATTTTACCTTTGCTTTTCCAGTTCTTTGGTTTCATTCTTATCGTCTTTCTTCTTTATTTTGTTGTTTTGTTTGTTTTTTCTTTTATTCTAAATATAATTCAAAATACTAGTTTTATCTAAAATAATAGAGAATAATTAAAAAGAAAAACAAGATAGTCATATTAAAGAAATTTAAATACTACTCAATATATACTAAAGCCTACAACTTTAAAACTAAACTAAGTATGTATATTTTTGAAAATTTCCTTCTTATCTTTTGGGAATATAAAATGTCAGCACTATTTTTTAATTATTTTTTTCAATTTTATGAAAAGTAAGAAAAACTAAAAGTTACTAGTCAAAATAACAATTTGCTAACATAAAGGAAAATATTTTTTGTAATTTTCATTGTAAAGATAAACTAAAGCAAAAAGTCAAAAATAATCAAAATAGCGATATTAGACTTAAAATAAATATCTAAATACTAAAATGAGTAAAATTTCAAGGAAGATAAAAAATTACATGTCTACAGCTGCCCCTCTTTGACTAGAAACACAAAGAGTTTTCAGACAAAGAACGACGAGACAGGTTTTTTGACCCGACCCTTATTTAGAGAGACCAAAAACTGAAGAAAGGAGAATGTGACCGAGCCCTGGTATCTGAGTTGCCTACATATCCTTGGCTATAAAGGAATCAGACCACATGTAGTTCAAAAGTAGGAACAGTGATGGAGTATATGAGGTGAAGAGCCGACTGAGGTGCCGTCTAGGTTTCGATCCGCGATCCTGTATTACATCAAATCAAAATCTAAAAGAACTAAGCAAGCCTATCAGCTATGAGTTACAAGATTTCTATCTATAAGTGTACTAAAGCTTGATCTTGAATCTTGAATGGTTTTTCATCCAGACTTTTGATTGGAACCTTGATGCTCCCTAGCTGCAGGTACTGATTCATTCTTCCACGACTTCTTCGGATCAAGAATGTACATGCAGTGCTCGTAACTTCAACCATGTCTTGAGTAGTTCACATCATTCATCTGCTTCTGCAATTGGATTTACTTCTTTTTTCTTCTTTTCTTTTTTTCCTTTCATTCTGGATTGAGACTTCTTCTTTTGGTCATCTCGAACTGTCGACTCGCATTCTTGAGGCGAGTTTCTGCTACTTCTAACTTGAATTGATTTCTGAAATGACTTCCCTCGTTTTCCAAGTGGGTGCTTGCTACTGACTTGAAACTTGTAATAATTCCGAAAGGAATTCCCTTGTTCTCCAGGTGGGTGCCTACAATCAAAATAACAAAATAAATAAAAATTTCTGCCCCGGTTTGCACTAGGAAGATTGTGAGTTGTTACCAAAACTGTAAATCGCCTATGATATTGATGCAATGATGAGAGTAAAACTAAAGACTCGACTAGGATGTGTGTCTCCTAAGAATGAACTCAAATGACTCAAACTGGGAAGTGCATCTCCTAGGGATGAAACTTGAATGAACCAAACTAGGAAGTATGTCTCCTAAGGGTAAGACTTGAATAACTCAAACTAGGAAGCGCGTCTCCTAGGGGTGAAAATTGAATGAACCAGAACTAGGAAGTGCGTCTCCTGGGGGTAAAACTTGAATAACTCAAACTAGGAAGTGCATCTCCTAAGGGTGAAACTTGAATGAACCAGAACTAGGAAGTGCGTCTCCTAGGGGAAAAACTTGAATAACTCAAACTAGGAAGTGCATCTCCTATGGGTGAAACTTGAATGAACCAGAACTAGGAAGTGTGTCTCCTAGGGGTAAAACTCGAATAACTCAAACTAGAAAGTGCGTCTCCTAGGGGTGAAACTTGAATGAACCAGAAATAGGAAATGCATCTCTTAGGGGTAAAACTTAAATGACCCAAACTAGGGAGTGCGTCTCCTAGGGGTGAAAATTCAATGACTCAAACTAGGAAGTGTGTCTCCTAGGAATGAACTTAAATGACCCAAAACTAGGAAGTGCATCTCCTAGGAATGAAATCTCAATTTAGGAAGTGCGTCTCCTAAAAAAAATATAACTTGAAAGACCCATACTAGGAAGTGCTTCTCCTACGGGTGAAACTTGAATGAACCAGAACTAGGAAGTGCGTCTCCTAGGGATGGACTTAAATGACTTAAACTAGGAAATGCATCTCCTAGGGGTAAAATCTCAATTTAGGAAGTGCGTCTCCTAAACAAAAATATAACCTGAAAGACCCAAACTAAGAAGTGTGTCTCCTAGGGGCTAAACTTCAATGAACCAAACTAGGAAGTGCATCTCCTAGGAATGAACTTAAATGACCCAAAACTAGGAAGTACGTCTCCTAGGGGTAAAATCTCAATTTAGGAAGTGCGTCTCCTAAAACAAAAATATAATTTGAAAAACCCAGACTAGGAAGTGTGTCTCCTAGGGGTGAAACTTCAATGAACCAAACTAGGAAGTGTGTCTCCTAGGAATAAAATTAAATGACCAAAAACTAGGAAGTGCATCTCCTAGGGGTAAAATCTCAATTTAGGAAGTGCGTGTCCTAAAACA